CAGGACATTCAATCTTAATGACTGTGAAGCTTTTGTCCATCAAGTCCACTTAACCAATAGCAACAAGTGTGTCCCTTAGAAATGCCCACTTATCATGAAGATTGTCACTATCTGTGCTAATTCACCACTTTTATCATGGGTAGAGGTTCCCAGCTTCTGGGGCAGATGACACTGTTGGCTGGGGAGGACCAGAGCACCTCCATGTCTAGAATCTGTGCCTTCTCTTGCCAAATGCCCAGGGCTTTGAAAGACTCACCAGAAATAAGTGGTAAATGTCTAAGGTGAGGAGTGTGATAATTAAAATATTATATGACCCTTAGCAGCTCCCTGGGGCATCCAGGCCCAGGGCAGCACTCAGCAGTTGGGTGGGGTCACCCAGGGCGACAGGCAAGTAGCAGGGAAGGTCCCAGAGGTTCTGATGCTCCAGGTGCCACCAGACCCTGGGCCTCTCTCCTCAGCCTCTGCAGGTACTGAGCAAGGGAGGGACCTACTCCTGGCCCTCTGAGGACCCTGCTCAGACCACCCACCTTCCCTGAAGGAGTCCTGGGGCTCCAGGGTCATGTGTGACTGGGGTGTCCTCTGCCCAGGTGAGAGCACTTCAATTTATTTCTTTTAATCAAGATTTCTTACATTGTTTTTGTATCAAGAACAAACCCACATGGAGGTGGGCCAGGAGGATGGCAACCTGGGGCTCTGCAGGAAGGGATGTGTCAGGAGCTTAGTCCCTGGATGAGGTCTGGAGTCTGCTGTGGCTGGGACGGTTCAGCACATCACAGCTGTGACTCACCCAGCCACTAACACAGGGACAGAGGGCATGGAGACAGGAGCAGGGAGGGAAGGTGTCCAAGATCATCTACATAGGAACCTTGTCAGGACAGCAGACATTGTGGAGTTAAAGTTGAAAGAGAAAATAGTTTGTGTCTCAGCCCTGGAAACAGATCAAAAAGTCCCATGTGAGGGGGCAGAAGAGGATGGAAAATGAAGAAAATGATAGTTATGTCTTCACAGCACTGTTGAAAGTCGGCTCATCCAGGATGTAGACTGTGGCCAATTAACTAGTGATTTTTATATGAAATATTTGAAAAAGTTATCAATCACTGAAGGCCTGGTTGATTTTGCACACTGCAAAAATTATATATATTTTTTTCTTTTTTCGATGAACAATATTCTTTTGAGTTCTTGAGGTCCCTGCTCTTCCCAAGTGTCCCTCCTGGTCTTGCTGTTGCTGTCCCCCATTGGCCATGAGCTCCTTCCTCTCCTCTCAGATGCATCTGCAGATGCCCCTGGGCATTCCCTGATCCTCACAGAGGAACAGCCGCACACACCACACATCACAGCAGACTCCACACAGAATTCAACAGGGATTGAAATGATTCTGCTAACTTTTCCTCCTGCCATTACTTTCCTGAATGCCTTGGTCCCCTCGACCATGAGGACATCAGTGCCTGGATCACAAACTGGGTCAGGTGCACCTGCCTGTGTTAGGGCTCTTACTTATTCCTGCAAACTCTGCCATGCAGCTGAAAACCCTCAAGCACAAGAGTAGGTCCTGGCTTTTATATTACATAAAAATATGGTGATCTCAACTAAACTCCAGGTACAACTTTCACAGTTGAAAAGATAAACTGGGCAATGAAAAGGAAACTTACAAGAGCAACAAGGAGCTTTTGAAATGATACAAAGACTGCTTGTATGTAAAATATCAGCTAAGGTTTACTGTTCCTCACAAAGGGGGACGGAGAGACCCCAGTAGGGTGGTGCTTGATGGGAGGGCCCATCCTGGGATGGAGGTTGGGGGCTGAGGACTGACTCATGCAGCCATCTGACATCAGGACCAGGTGGCTAGTTACTACTCTGTCTCCTGAGCTCTGACCCTAGAAGGAGAGGGGAAGGTCTGGGCACGTTCCTAGAGTAAGTGGAGGAGAAGTTGAAAATAGCATCTTCACATCCAGTGCATAGAGCTCACACACAGGCAGCCCTGAGTGCCCCACAGAAGGTCCCCTCTCACTCAGGCTTTTTTAAATTTGGTCTCAACAATCATGACACACAATTCCAGAGTATAACATATGATGATCTCCAATATGAAATTTTTCTGTAGGGATAATGTGTGAGCATGTCTGGCAAGAGACATATTGTAGAAATATTATCGTTAATATTGTGTTTTG